AATAAAAATGTATGGATTTCTTTGCCTCTTTTTAAATAGTATTTATGTAAAGGTATATTAACCTCAGTAATCCATGTATATTAACCTCAGTAATCCTTAGATGAGAATGACTAAGAGAGGCCAGTATTATTTTCTGTGTTGTGAAGACTGGCGTGAGAAGGGACTCTGAGTGAATAGTGGCTTCCTTGAGGTTACCGTGGTTGAGGTGAGAGTTGAACTGGGCTCTTTGTGGCTCTCAGGCCTTAGCCACTGTGCCCTGCTGGCTCTTTCTCTATTAAGACAGATGTCAGCCGATGTGGCAGCATCTGCTAGCCTGTAGTTGAGCAATCACATTGGCCCAAGTCTCTAAGATTCTGTTTTGAGCCTCAAGCTCTCATCTAGGAAGAGCAGGTGAAGGCAAAATGTCAAGGAGAACAAGTCAGAGTCAGAGCCCAGCCATATGCGAATGCTGAAATAAGCAGTAAGAGAAATATACTAGCCATGCAGTTTTAAGTATCTGTACAACTACCTAGTTGTTGAGTTAGGGAAAAAGGAAAGAATGCTTTTTTAACCCATACCCTGCTTAGCTAAGAGGTTCAAATGAGCTTGTCAGCAGTATTAATGCTTTGCATGCAAATATTTTTGCAAGAAAAATGACTTAGTGTGAGACAAGCAATTTAGTGGTATTCAAAGGGGAAGTGGATGGTGTTGTCTGATGGGTTCTCATTTGGTGCACTATTGAATTGTTAGTCAATAATTGGATGAGTTTTGTTTTTCTGTAATAACATAATTTTGCTTATTTATTTATTGAATTAAATTTCTAGACTGCCCTTCCCTGTAAAACAGGAGTTGGGGGATGTACACCAGTAAAACACATTCATAATTTAGATTTACAGATTAAGAACAGTAAAAAACATGTGAGTTTTGCTTTGTTTGAGAGTCAGCATAGGGACAAGTGTTTTCTTTTGGTCATGGCCAATCAAAGACCAAAGCTTCTAAGCAACAATTATCTGTTATTTGCCCCCTTTTGAACCCCTTCGGTTGAACCCCAATTTTTTCTCTGTCAAATGACCTGCTTGCAGTTGTTGCTGTAGCAGCATCTTCCCGGACATGGTTTTCAAGATGAGAAGAGTTTTCTGCCCTCTACCAGGAGGAAACTGCTGAGGCCATCTGCCTTTTGACATACGAAGCTTTCTCAAGCTGCACCTGTGTTCATCAGAATCAGTTTTTGTGCAGGGTCATCATTAGTTCAGGAAGGAAAGCTTTCTTTCTTTCTTTCATGGTCCCTTTGTGGAAAACAGTATCCCAATTGTGCCTCAATTCTTGGAAGTTTGGAGCTGCTTTCTCTATCATGAAGGCTGAATGTTCCTCTTATCCCACGGTCAGGATGCTGGGCTGGCCCAGACTGCAGATAACAATCTGACCCTGTGTTGAAATCGCAGCATGATCTCCCTGCTTCATCTACCTGAGGTCCAGGTCCCTAGTTAACCCCCTGTTTTGGTCCTGTGGCGCGTTTCTTAATACCAGATGTGTGGTGGTTGAGTCCCAAGGAGTGGGAGGGGAGAGTATGTGAGTGTAGAGGCAGTGGTTGTCCCCCAGCCTTTCTGTGAGGTGAAAGGGAGAGCCTGGCTACATGTTACACTTCCTATGTGAGCGCAGCCCTACCACAGGAGAGTTCCATCTGCTGAAAAGTCTTGTTTCCTTCACCAGTAGACACACAAAGCTGGAGAGCATAAGGAAATCGTGCATGCAGTGAAGGAGGCGCTGCTGTGTGCCTTTTGGTGCCTTTTCTCCTTGTCAGCTAAAACGTCCTTATGATTTGAGGACAGCCAATGAGACCCTGCTCCGTTCTGCCTACACTTAGCAGGGCTTTTTGGGGTGGTGGCTCCAGAGCTGTGTAGTGCCCTTTCCCAAGAGAGTCACCTCACTCTGACTTTTTCAAAAGTTTCATAAAAACTTGAGGTTGTTTTTTTTCCAGAATAGGCTTTTGGGATTCTGGTTTTTTGGAAAGCTTTCATCCTCTGCTACTCTCTAATACCATTTCATTTTTCTATGGTATTGCTATTCTGGTTTTTCAATTAGTTGTGTAATTTTTATTCTGTATATGGCCTTGGGAATTGTTGAAAGGTGGCTTCCCTATAAGTTGGTATAAACAAGCAATGATCTTCCCATCTCCTTCCCCCTCCTAGAAAACACTAGGCAGTAAAGCAGAGATAAAAGTAGGCATAGGTAAACATGGGAAGCCGAGAGGTGGCTTAGCTTCCTGCTTCCCTGTGTGTTTGCCTGTTATCTCTGCCTCTAGGAAGGCTTCAGCGTTATCAGCAGTTGAGCGTCTGGCTTAAAAGTGGCCTCTTTTAAGGTGCTGAATGTGTCCCTTAGCACTGTTTCCCAACCTGTGGGTCAGGACCCAAAAGTGGGTCATGAACAGGGTTCCCTCTAAGCTGAATTAGTGTGAGCTAGCTCATATTTTTGTAGCCTCCGACTCACACATTTTTTGTCTTCGCTCAGGAAGGGTGGCTCCAGAGCAAACTAATTGATGCAGTAGCCAAATTGCTCGCTCACAACTTTAATGCCAGTAGCTCACAGACATCTGTTTTAGTTATTGTTGTATTGTTGTACGTTGTAAAATTAAAATAATGTTTTTAATTAAAAAAACCCCACAACAATGTAGAATTTTTTGCTCACAAGACTCCACGGCTCAGAGGGAGCATTGGTCATGAAGCCTGTGCCAAGTGGGTTGCGGGCCAGCCCTACCTGGTGGCCCCCCCTGCCCTTTCCATTGCTCTCTTTTGTATTTTGGAAACCGAGGTCTGATCCCTGGAAATAGTATCTTCCATGTCATGAATTAGTTGGCATTTGTTTCTTCACTGCATATACATGTTGATCAAGTAACCTGATGATTACTAGAGCGAGTTTCTTAGAATTTTAGGGGGGGGGGGTTTAGAGAGGGGTAATGGAGAAGGAGAGAGTGGTGAAAGGCTGGAATGTAACCTCCGTATGCAGAGGCTGCGTATGTCGGAATGCCACGGGCTTCGGACTCAAAGAGGGGGCAGCTGCCCCCTTTGTGCGGTGTGTGTTGGTTTCTCAAAAATGTGTGTTCAGCCATTGTAGAAAACAGAGTGCTGAATTAGAGCGGTGCCAAGGTCACAGTTTGCCTAGGGTCCCCAAAAACCTTTGGCCTGCCTTGGATGGGTCACCATACCAAGTAAATTTGGACTTGTGGGGAACCACTGTCTTATAGTAAAGCTCAGGCAAGCAAGAGCAGCAGTCACAGGCCCTTTCCCTGTTTCCCTGTTGGGGACACTTTCTTGGGGTTTTCCCTGTTGTCGCTGCAGTGACAACGGGGCTTCTGCACGGTGCATTTCCCTGCTTCATACCCCACGGGGGCCACCATGCTCCTTTGTGACGGAATAAACTGGCTTCTGTATGTGCTACTACTGAGATTGGGTCCCACTATAGCCTATTGGTTATGAAAAAGAATTATTTGAAACGTGGCAGCTTACATCCGGATTACACGTCTGTATGGTTTATGGATTTCAAGATTTCTGTGGCTGATGGCTTTCAAGATCATAAGGAATTTCCAGGAACTATATGAGTTCACTCTATGATGAATGTATGTCAAGTTGGACTATGGAATACAACAGGAGTGAGACACACTGAAATTTTTGGGACTTTATTTCTCTGCACTACTGTCGCTTCTTGTATGAATAAGGTAAAGGTAAAGGTTCCCTTGCTCAAAAGCCAGTCGAATCCGACTCTAGGGTTGCGGTGCTCATCTCCGTTTCAAAGCCGAAGAGCCAGCGCTGTCTGAAGACGTTTCTGTGGTCATGTGGCCGGCATGACTAAACACCAAGGCGCACGGAAGGCTGTTACCTTCCCACTGAAGTGGTACCTATTTATCCACTTGCAATTTCTTGCTTTCGAACTGCTAGGTTGGCAGGAGCTGGAACTAGAGACGGGAGCTCACTCAGTCATGCGGCACACTCGGGTCTCGAACTGCCGAACTACCGGCCTTCCACAGCCTGCAGTTCAGCGTCTTAACCACTTGAGCCACCGCTTGTATGAATACCTTGGCCTTATCCTGTTACATGGTTATTGAACTCGGCATTATAAATATTATTATTTTCATATATTTCTTTGTTTACTTTTGTGATTTCAGCCAGCTTTTTTTTGCACTTTGTACCATTTCATGTACACTGGTTTCCCCTCCTTTTTTTGTTTTCCTTGAGATCTTTTAAAGCAAAACAGTAATATACTAATTACTAATCTAAAAATCTGGAAAAAGTCCTCCGGGGTTGGGGGTTGAAAGGGCCACCGTGGGGATGGAGATAGGGGGAAATGGTGCCAATGTCGGTGGGACTGGGAGAATCCAGAGTTTCCTGCCCACTTGTCAGCTGCCCCAGTTCTGCTGCGATCTGTCCATTGCAGGATTGGGAAGGGTCCCAAAGTGATGGGGGAGGGAATCAAGTAGGTGCAGGATTGCACCGTGATTCTGAGGGAAGCAGGGACAAAACATACGTCCCCAGTTGCATCAGTGCTGGGGTGTACTGGTTCCTTTGGGAGGAGTGGCTGAGCACTGTGATTGATGCAACCGTGTGCTCCATCTCAGCTGTGAGACCACACCCAGCAGTCTGCAGGTAGCCAGCCAAGTGGCCAATTTCAAGCCTGAGCAGAGGGGAGTTCTGGGGTTGCTTCCTCATAATTCCTTGGGACAGGCGTCTCCTTGTGAAAGAGGAACATAGGATCCCATATGCGACACCACCACATTATGAGTGCCTCTATATGGGTAAGCGTAAGTTAAGATTGTTGAAACGGAGCACAGCATCCAAGCTTCTTTCAGCGGAATGTATCTGGCCTTACAGTCCGTTCCTAAGCGTACTTACTTGGCTGCAAGTCCTGTTTTGTTTGCTGAAGCTTCTTTGCCAAAAGAGAATTGTTAGGATTGCAACTTCAACACTTTGATGAATGCTTTCTCCTCCTAGATTTTCCTCTTACTTACTTACTTTTTTTTTCCCCAGGAAGAAGAAAGATGACGTAAGCCACATTCCAGCCTTAAGGGCAGAGAGGGCTGGGGGGGGAGTTGGGGTGGGACCAGAAGGAAAGCTATGCCGGGATCTTTGAGGCGGCCGCCTGCAAACAGGGTCCTTGTGTCGCAGTTCACCCATCACCATGTTGCCGTGTTCCTCCTCACTTTCTTCAGGTAGGTGGCTGTGTTTGATTCTGTCCAAGAGCTGTTGTGTTACGATCTTTGGGGGCAACGTTAATATGCAAGATTGGGAGGGGGTCCCAAGCCCAAAGTGTGGCAGAGTGATTAGAGTGGCGGGCTAGAATCTGGGGGTAGAGGAGGCAGCTTCAAATCCCCACTCTGCTGTGGAGGGTTGCTGGGTGACCTTGGGCCAGTCACTCTCTCAGATTAACCCACCTCGCAGGTGTGTCGGGGGGTTAAAATGGAGGAGGGGAGAGCAATGATGTTTGGGGAGGAAAGTGGGGTCTAACTGTCCACCTAAGCACAGATTTCTGGCACCTGCCTGGCCTTTTATTCAGTGGTTCTTGCCTGTATCATGGGGGGTTAAAATGGAGGAGGAGAGAGCAATGATGTTTGGGGAGAAAAGTGGGGTCTAACTGTCCACCCCTTTTATTCAGTGGTTCTTGCCTGTATCAGTCCAGAACAGATAGCCTTCTGCAAGTGCTTTGGTGCCTGTGCTGACTCCCCTCCCAGTTGACTTTGCAGTAGACTGGCTGGTCTGGGCAGGTGGTCTGAAAGAGATTCAGAACTCCGTGCTGCGCCCTGAATTCTGAGTAGCCCAGGCAAGCCCGATCTTGTCAGATCTCGGAAGTTAAGCAGGGCCGACCCTGCTGAGTATTGGGGTGGGAGACCTGGAAATGCCAGCAGCAGGAGGCAGGGGCAGGCATTATTCAGCCACCTCTCTGAATAACCTCCAGGATCTCAGTAGGGGTCAGTCACCAGAGGTCACCATGACTTCCAGGTGCGCGCACACACACACACACATGCACATAAAAATACCCCCAAAATAACATAAAAAAATAACTCAGTGCTACTTTTGTCTTGCATCCTGAAATCCCGGCTGAGCAGGAAACTGCTGGAAAAGGCTGCCTTAAACAGATCTTGGCAGTGATTCTGAGTGAGAATATTGGCATCTACTTAGGATCACCAATTTGCTGTGTGATATCGGTGTGGAGAGTGTAGCTTGTGATGAACAGGAATGCTTCCCCCCCCCTCCCGGGAGTGAATTCAGCCGCCCCCCTCTTCCAGCCGCTGCCGGTGGGTTTGGTTGCAAGAAGGAAAAGCATCCTTCTCTGCCAGGCTGTGAGGTGCCTCTTGGAGTACAGCTGATGATCTCCCCGGTCCAAATCTTGCTTTGGTCCTTTTGGGGAAGGAGGCGTATTGTTGGCGATGGGGCGCTTGGGTGGATGGGCAGCTGGAAGAGGCTGTTGGAAAGAGGCTGGCTGAATGCTGAGATGGATACTCTCTCATCTTGGCCAAATGAATTGTTTGGGAGGGTGGTTTTTTGGGGGTTGAGTTGTTTTTTGTTGTTGCTTTGCCAGGAAACTCCATTCGTTTCTGCCTTGTGCAGAAAGAGGTGAGATTCTGGGGAGAATGTGTAGTCTCTCCTGGAACCGCTTTTCCTGAAAACCCCTTTACTGGAAACAAAGAGCACCAGGTGTCTCAGAAAACGAAGCCCTGTTCTGTGCAGTCTGAAGGAACTATCCTGTGTGTGATTTCCATCTCTGCCTCTCTCTTTATTCCCAGCTACTCTCTGCTCCACGCCTCTAGGAAGACCTTCAGCAATGTCAAGGTCAGCATCTCCAGCCAGTGGACCCCCTCCGACCTTAACGACACGGCCCTTAAACTCCAGCCGTATGAGGTGAGGGTAACAGGGTTACTGGACAGCTGGAGCTGGGGCCTGACTTCCAGGGGCTGGGGAGCTAGCCAGTAAGCAGGGGAATGACCATTCGGTGCGGACTGAGTATGTGAAAAGAGCCTTTATGAGTGCCGTTGGGTATGAAATTACTGGTGATGGACAAGAAGACTTTTTCATGTATTGTTTCGAGACTATGGAACCATCTCCACCTGGAAAGCTGGAGCTTGTCCTGTTTAAATGTGTCTCAAAAGCCTTTTACAAATAATTAATCCTGGTCTTTGACTATGGAATATCAGGGCCGTGGCTCAGTGGAAGAGCCTCTGCCTTGGTCCCTGGCGTCTCCAGTTAAAAGCACCCATTAGTAATTGATTTGACGGACTTCAGCCCGGAGAGCCACTTCCAGTCTGAATAGTCAGTACTGACCTCGATGGACCGATCATCTGATTCAATAGAAGGCAGCTTCAAGAGTATTGTCTTCTAGGTTCTTTTGGGTGGAGGGGCCATGGCTCAATGGTAGAACATCTCCTTCGCACGCAGAAGGTCCCAGGTTCAATTCCCCGGCGTCTCCAGTTAGAAGGACCAGGAAGTAGGTGAAGTGAAAGACCTCTACCTGAGACCCTGGAGAGCTGCTGCCAGTCTGAGTAGAGAATACTGACCTTGATAGATTAAAGGTCTGGTTAAGTATAAGGAAGCTTCTTGTGTGTTCCATTTGCCAGTCAGAGACATAGTTGCTGCTTGCCACAGCTGTTGGGGATTATTTGATTCCCTTTACAGTTTGATAACCTTGTTGCGGTCCATTTTGGGAATACCTCAGTGGAAGAGGTGTTAAAAGGGTTTCGAAACCCGGTAATCTGTGCAGAGCCTCAACCCCCCCGTCCTTTTTCTTGCATCCGGTTGTCGGGGCCGCAAAGGGGGATGAAGCCGGCCTGATGAAACCCCTCGCCAAGTTTTTATCAATGAACTTTTGGAGTTCATCCTTCTCAGCCCGTCCCATAGCATAGATTCGCCCCTTAGGCAGTTTTGTCCCCGGCACAATTTTAATGCTGGGGGCGCAATTCATCCGCTTCCTCTTCCCCGAAAACCCTAGCCAAGTCTCGATACTCAGGAGGAATGGAGAGCAGTTCCTCTTGGGCTAAGAGCTCTCCCGGGGTCTCGAGAGGGGTTTCCCCCCCACACTTAACGTCCCATCTGTGCTCATGGCATCTGGGAGAGAAGAATTGCACCCTCCCCTCTTCCCACAGTATATAAGGGTCATGCCCGTGTAGCCAGGGGGCCCCCAATACGAGGGGAAAGCGTGCTGCTGGGGTTACAACAAAGGTTCGGGCTTCCCAGTGATCCCCCGCCTCCATTCTCAGCTATCATCCTGAAACAGGTGGCCCGAGCAATCCACAAACTTTTGCACTCGCACCACGAAGTAGGAGAGCTCATCAGGATTCCCGTTGAACGTAGCTTCTATTAAATCCTTCGGGCGCGGCACCACCTGGCCCCGCGGGCTAGCCGGTCTCGGTGCAGGTATTGGGGCTTCTCCTGGTCTCGGGGCCGGCATGTCACCTGGTTGCGCCGGGGCTCTCGAGGCGGGCGCTGGTGGTCCCGCCGGCACGACTGGGGCAGCCGGGTGCCTCTCCAGCGCTTCCCCGACCGTTCTCGTTACCAAGTCTGGGATGGCCATGATGACCTCCTCCAGGGTCTGCTGTAGGTGCTGAATGTCACGGTCAGCCACCTCCATGTGCTTGGCTAGTTCCAGTCCCTCGTCTGGGGACACCCAGCTACTCCGGGCCTTCGATCGCTCCGTCACCCATGAACTAGCAACCGGTTCGAAGGGGGCTCCCAATGGAGGTAATCCCGCCGCAGCGGCGAGGCCCCTGTCATACAAGCTGTCTCTTGGGGGCCCCCCGTCAGTAGATAGGTCTCTGCCGTTGATTCGGGGTTGAACTGGGTCTGCCACTCTGTCCAGCCCGGTATCTCGGGGCCTGGGGAGTCAGGAACAGATGCGTCGAGGAGTACTTCGGGATAGTCCCCCCCACTGCACCGGATAGCGGCGGCGTTGTAGACACTGGTACCGAGGCCGTGGTTACCACATCATCTGGCTCCTTGGGCTCATCCGGTTCTGTAGGCAAGGGTTTCCCCTCTCTGTCGCTCATCTCGGGTTGAGAGAGGCGCTGAGATAGGGAATGAAAGGATTCCTAACGGAATGTCGGGATCCACAGCAAGACAATGAAGTACACGCTTCTAGGAAGGTTTTACTTTTATTGAAAAGCTATAGATGCAGTAACATGAACACTGTTAGGAATGGCGGGGTACCTATGTGCATAATAGGATATAGGGCTTTTGTATGCACCCCCCCACGTAGTGCCCAATTAGATGGGCTCCCGTGCGCGGGCATTTGGCAGATTTCTAACGGCTGTAGAAGCTGGGAACGTAAGAAGCTTCCCACAAAATCTAGACACACCAACTCCTCCACTGGCCTTGAGAGATATGCGTTACAGCAAAGAAGCAATTAAGCGCATGGGAAGGAATGCACAGCAATTAGAAACATACAGCACACTCACGGCAGCATAGCTGACAGTAGTAACCTTGAGTCAGTTAAACATTTACTCCGGTAAAACAGTGGTTGTGTGTCGCTGTGAGAGAGGGGAAAGGAAACCGGCTGCCTTCTGTACATCTTGCCTTCTAGGATTCTTTCCAGCTCTCTAGGGACTGGAGTTCCCTTTGAAAAGAAACAAGCGAGGCGGACAAGGCGTGAACAAGGCTGGCTGGCGTGGGAGAGGGCACTGAACAGAGTGGCAACCCCAGCACAGGGATGCCCAGAGCCGGAAGGCGAGTGGGTGTCTCAGGCTGTGGGTCAGGGCCAGTCTGGGGCCACGGGGAAGCTGGGATGGAACTAAAGCAAATGGCCCTGCTGCACCCTGCGGAGGGATAGGGGCCTGTTGAGGCTCCTCGGGAAGGCTGTGAAGAGGAATACAGGGACTTGTACTACTGTTCCAGTCCGTTTGGGTTGGGCGATGGACTCCTGCGGCTATACTGGCCCCTCTGTCCTAGGTTTGGTCGCAAATTTGAACTCATCTTGTCAGACCATTCCTCCATCCAGCTTAGTGTGGTGAGCTCTGGCTGCCAGTGGTTCTCCAAGGGCTCTGGCAAAGAGAGGATTTCCCCAGCACCTGTTGCAGGAAATCCTTATGACATGCCAGGGCTGGAACCTGGGAACCTCCCTGAGAACAAGGCTTGCGCTCTACCACTGAGCCACATCCCTTTCAGTGAACAGTTCTATAAATGCTTCATGTGATGGTTCAGGTGGGGTAGCCATGTTGGTCTGAAGCAACAGAACAAAGTTTGAGTCCACCGGCACCTTTAAGACCCACAAAGTTTATACCCAGAATTAAACTTTGTAGCTCTTAAAGGTGCCACTGGACTCAAACTTTGTCATATTATTGTTGTATTTGCAAGGCAAGTTGCTTCATGTCTTGAATACTCACAACATGGAACTGTGGTTGATTCGTGCTTTTCATATTCATAAAAACATTTTTTTTAAAGAGCAAACGACGCCTTAACCCAACACTCTGAGCTGTGCCTGTTATCGAAACCAAAGTGCAAAGAGGACTGCCCTCTAGTGGCAGGAGTCAGAGTTGCAGCAGTGGCTTTGTTTTGCTGATGAATATGCTCTAGTATTCGGTGACTGGCTGGTCTCTTGGTGAGGGCCACACGTCCACATTGAAGTGATGAAGCTGCCATTTCTGTCCCCCCTTAGTGGTCCGTACAGCAGTGTGAAGGTAGCTTATTCTGTCAGCAAATCTACAGTCCAACAGCTTTATTAGTTCTGTTTCTTCTCCCCGCAGCTATGGAACAGCAGCCATTTATTTCCTAACACCGGAGAAGCCACTCTCTTCCTTGGGACGCTGGACACCATCTTCCTGTTCTCCTATGCTGTGGTGGGTAGAACTTCTTTCCATACAAAGCCCAGGAGTGAAGACCAAGCCCACAAAGCGGGGGAATTCTTCCTTTTGTTACAAGTGGGGTTTTGTGCATCTCCAACCAGTGGAGCCCAGGAAACCTCATGGGATTGGCTGTGGGCTTGGCCTGCGACCCCAGAATATCAGAGCAGCCTTCGTGACTGTGTGGACGAACATCTGATAGGACAATTGAACAGAGGTGGACTGCTGGGGCCAGAGTAGGGGAGCTCAGAAGAGTTTTAGAGGGATCGAAATGGCCTTGGGATCTGAGCTGTTGCCCAAAATGATAGAACCAGCGTGGTGGTGTCGTTAGAACCCCGTTCAGCTGTGAAAGCTCACTTGGGCAATCGGTGCTCTGTCTCTGTTTATTGACATCCCTGATACCCCTGCCTTTCTCCCCAGTGGGGACCCAAAGCGCACCATTCTCCTCTCCTTCATTATATCCTCACAGCAACCCTGAGAATCAGACTGAGAGTGTGCATGGCTGGTCCAAGGTCACCCAGCAAACTTCTAGGGTAGAGTGGGTGTTCAAATTGGGTCTCCCAGACCCTATTCCAATACTCTAACCCGGTAGTGTTAACTCTGTAGCTCACAGAGCGCTACATTGGGAATTACCATCCACTGCAGTTTGGTGTAGTGGTTAAGTGCGTGGACTCTAATCTGGGAGAACCGGGATTGATTCCCCACTCCTCCACTTGCAGCTGCTGGATGACCTTGGGCAAGCCATTGTTCTGTCAGAGCTGTTCTCTCAAGGACAGTTCTCTCAGAGCTCTCTCAGCCCCATCTATATCACAGGGTGTTTGTTGTGGGGAGGGGAAGGGAAATGGGTTTGTAAGCTGCTCTGAGTGAAGGGCAGGGTATAAATCCAATCTCTTCTTCTTCTTCCGTCCCTGGCATGAGGCCTCTGGGAGGCTGGCAACTCACCTGCGCCTCCAGCAGCAGCTGTTTCAAGATGAGAACCACCTGCCGACCATGAGCTCCATTGGGCAAGGGTCTTGCCTGCTTTCCTGAAACATGGGGCAGGTGCCATATTGGGAAACAGTGCCCAGGAGAGCCACCGGTGGAATATCAAAAGACACACGTGGCTCCTGAGCCACTGTGAGTGTGACTGCTCTAACCACTTCGCCATGCTGTCTCTCATATGGTGTGGATAAAATGTGGGCAGGAGGTTGGGTATGGTGCCCTGAGTTCCTAGGAGATATAACACAGATATAATTTGATGGTTCCTGGTTCTAAAGGGCTGGAAGCGGGGCTGTGCAAGTTCTGCTCATGTTGTGTTTTCAATATAAAACTTGCAGTGGATTCTTCAGATACCTTTTTAATGACTGACGTCTTTTCTTACGCATTAGTATTGTTCTCCCTTAGTTGGAATGGTAGGCTGTCAATGTTTCAGTGTTAATAGTTCAAAGAAACATTTCTTCTTGTTTCTAGCGTTTATTTTTGTCTATGTTAAGCTTTTCCTTTTCTCAGTACCATTTTTGCATGGTGATTTCCCGCTCCCATGCCCCAGTTAATCCTTGCAATAGGTCTTTGAGGTTGGTTTTGCTGAGAGACAGTGATTGGCACAGTCAACTTTATAGTTGGGCAGGGATAAATCTGTCTGGCACATGTTTATCCCACCCCTCCTGCAAAGAGCTTGGAACGACAGTATGCGATTCTCTGTTTTTACCCTCACAACAGCGCTGTGAGGTAGGCTTGACTGAGAGTGTGTGGCTGGCTCAATGTCACCTGATGAAATTCCGTGGCATAGTGGGGACTTCAGCCTGTATCTCCCAGGTCCCAGTCCAACACTAGAATTGCTGCCTCACGTAGGCTCAGAGAAAAACCAGGCCTTGAGAAGAAATGTGGGTCTTTCGCACAGCCCTAAACAAAGACGTGAGTTTAATCAGTTGCTTCATGTTGGCTTGTGTGGAACGAAGGCACCAAAGAGTTAAAGACTAAATTTCATTATGGCATAAGCTTTCATGGCCAGAATCAGTTTCGCCAGTGGCTTGAATGCTAAAATACAGTGGTGTATATATATTTTTTGTAGGGGCTCTTTGTCAGCGGGATCGTTGGGGATCGTCTGAATATGCGCCTGGTCCTCTCGTTTGGCATGTGCTCCTCTGCGTTAGTGGTAAGTTGGGAGACCTTCCCTCTGTCCACGTGGAGAACAGATTGGTAGCCCCTAAGCACCCTTTTTTATTTTGGGGAAGAATTTCTTTAGCGTTGTATTTGAATAGACTAGAAACCAGTGTTTTTAAAAGAAAAACCTATGTTTCTCAGTATTCTAACATAACAACATAGGGCCCACGTAAGAGTCTTTATGATTTTCGTGTTGCTGATTGCATCTGCTGGTCAAGAGAAATCCATAGTTTGTACAATACCCCTGAATGTACCCATGTTTTTAGACAGTTACGTTTGAGTTGGTTAAACGGAACCAGCTAATACACAAGTTGGCCGCTTTACTTGAGTACACCATGCCTGTTTCTTTCTTGCTTTTCTATTTACCTTTTTTGCTGAGATCCAAGGAGAATTACAGCTAAAAACAAAGCAGAAAGAAGAGTATCCGTACCACTCCATTGTGATTGGGAAGAAATGTACTAAAACACATCATAATACATGCAGTAAAGCAGGAGTTACAAGACTGGAGAGCCAATGCAGTGAAATATTACATACAACGTTCCATGTAATAGCACAGATCACAGAATGAGAAAACAATGGAATAGACATGGCCTGATACATGCAGTGAAGACTGCCTTTAACTTCACTGACACGAACAGTAACCTTATTGTTCAGGCAGGCTTTTGAAAATCTACTGTGGCCTTTCTGTTGTGCAGTGAGACTTTTTTGACTTCTTCAAAGTGAAAGCTGATTCAGCTGGTAGTTTTCACCTAGGAAATGTTGGGGGTTCCCCCCATCCAAGTGTGTAGTAGGGTTGCCAGGTACCCCTTGGCCACTGGCAGGGGATGGGAGAGTAGGGTTGCCAGCTCCAGGTTGGGAAACTCCTGGAGATTTGGGGGTGGAGCCTGAGGAAGGATAGGAACCTCAGTGGGGTACAATGCCATAGAATCCACCCTCCAAAGCAGCCATTTTCTCCAGGGGAACTGATCTCTATAGTCTAGAGATGAGCTGTAATTCCAGGGGATCCCCAGGTCCCACCTGGAGGCTGGCATCCTTAGTGTGTAGGTAGTGGTATGACTTTCAAAATGATCCAAAGGGATTCTGGGAGTTAGCTGCTAGGGCTTATCGTCATCTGTATGACAGCCCCTGTTCCAGGTATTTCTAGGTTTGAAGGCATTTTAATTCTCATTCCTCCTTCCCCTTCTGTTTTCACTTAGTATCCCCCAAAATCTTGTCCTTAGTCAAGGCTTATGAGAGAACCGCTTTCTTGCTGAGCAAGAATTGCCTCAAGCTGACCAGGCCAAGGAAGTTCTTGCAAAACGTTGTGCTGCCTAATTTTCTTTTAAGCCATCAATGATGAGTACAGGTATGCTCAGGCGAGCCGGACTAGTAACAAGTGGGCTTATATTGCAAAGCTGCCTTAAAACCTGGTGTTTACAGTGCCCCTTTCTTTCTGTCCAGGTGTTTGTCTTTGGGACGGTCTCGGAATGGCTGCATTTCTACCACAAGTGGTTCTACTGCTGCCTGTGGATTGTGAATGGCTTGCTGCAGTCCACTGGCTGGCCCTGCGTGGTGGCTGTCATGGGAAAGTGGTTCGGCAAAGCTGGGTATGTTGAGCGCCATCACCCACCTTTTTATTATTTTATCTTTCCTGTGTGTGTGTGTGTGTATGTATATATATGCATGTGAGACATTTTATTATCTTACTCCCTTTCTCGGTAACGTCCCTGAACTAACAACTTTGGTGCGCCTGGTCAAGGGAAGCGACCCATGAAGGGTTAACTGCTGATGCGTCTCCTGTTGTGGAGGAAGGAAAGAATGCAGTGGAAATCTTCCCTTCTCAGCACTCACCAGACCTGCTTCTGTCTCTGTCTTTTGCTGCCCAGGAGGGGTTTTGTGTTTGGCCTCTGGAGCGCCTGCGCATCGGTTGGCAACATCCTGGGAGCGTTCCTTGCATCCTCGGTTCTGCAGTACGGCTATGAGGTGGGTGGAGCTGCCTGCCACGCCCCTTCTGCACGGATAGGGACTGGCTGCATTCAGTAGTTACTTAGCATTCTTTGTGAAGGGGAAAATACACTAAGAAGTTGTGTTATGACAACAAAAGCTGTGTGGTGCGTGTATCGTGCCTGCTTTTCTAATGCTCTTGAGATTTTTCGTATGTGGCTGTTTGGAAGGAATCTGCACAACAGTTTCTGCTGTGTAGAAAGGCCTGGCATTTTTGCGAAGGAGGCCTCAACCACTTATTTTAAGATGAGGTTCCAAAGAGCCATGCATAAGAGATGCGTCTGTGCTTCTCTTCCCACTCCAGTATGCATTCTTGGTGACGGCATCGGTACAGTTTGCTGGTGGAGTTATTGTCTTCTTTGGCCTTGTGACGTCTCCCAAAGAAGTAGGTGAGTGAGAACAGATGACTTGGCTTCTCTCCCAACAAGCCAGCCTTCCAATACTTGATTGTTCCTCAGCTTGCTGTGCCCCCCAGCTCCTATTGCTGTGAAATGTGTTGTTTTGACAGTCAGTGTGGCACAGTAGTTCATGAGAAGTTCAAGGGCTTTGGGAGACTACTCACCTGGTAATCTTGCACAAGTCGCCACCTCATGGAGTTACTCAGGGCCTAATCTTCAAGTTCTTGACAGAACAGCGCAGTGTAAATGTGAAAAGCTTCAAGCCCCATTCTTTATTTGCCACTTAGAGCAGTGGGACTGTTTCCCTGGCCAAGAATATCGGGCCAGTTCATAAATCTTATGTTTTCTTTCCCCCTGTGTGTTCCCAGCTCTCCCCAGAGATGCATTTGGCACAGACAGCCTGTCATGGCTACGGCCAAAGTACATCAGAGGCACTGGCTGTGATTGTAGCCATGGGGGGGGGGGGAGGGAATGTTTCCACAGTCATAAGAACATCAGAGATGCCAATGCTGGATCAGGCCAATGGCCCATCCAGTCCAACACTCTGTATCACACAGTGGCCAGAAATACCAGTGCCATCAGAAGGTTCACCAGTGGGGCCAGGACATTAGAAGCCCTCCCACTGTTGACCCCCCCAAGCACCAAGAAGACAGAGCATCACTTGCCCCAGAGCCTCTATCTATACCTTGTGGCTAATAGCCACTGATGGACCGCTGCTCCATATGCCTACCTAATTCCCTTTTGAAGCCGTCCATGCTTGTAGCCGCCACCACTTCCTGTCACAGAAACTACTTCCAGAGACGCTGCAGTGAGACCCAGGTTGTGCACGTTCTGTTTGTAAATGCATTCTTGAGGCTGAGGCGCACGTTAGCGTCTCTGTGCAGATGCCTTCCCTGGGCCAGTTGGAACGCCCTGCACACAGGAAGAAGACTCTAAACAATCAAATTAGCACTTAGTACTTAGTAAGTGTCGAGAGGGCTCCATAATCCTTACAACAGCCCTGTACAACAAACCCGTGGTGAAGAAAGAATAGCTAGCCTGTGGCCACTCTTGATGAATTTTGTGGACGAGGTGAGATTTCGCTGCCTCCCAGATCACAGTTCACTTTTTTAGCTGCTGTGTTTCACCGGTTCCAAAACGGGTTTCCTTTCTCAGCTGGCTCCCGTGTTAAGAATGCTGGCTCCAGCAGGCCACCGGCTTAGCTTGAAGCCTGGTCCCTGTTGATGCTCATGAGAACAGTAAGCTCATGCTGTGTCCCTTCATCAGAACAATGTTGGTGGCTGAGGTTGTAATCTAAAATTAAATACCTCGTTTTGCATTTGCTCTGTGCGGGCATACGAGCTTAACTTCAGTGCACATTTCCTCAGATCCTTATGTGCTAGTCTTGTGCGTTCTCTGTACCACCCAGCATTGCCCACGTAAGGGACTGGCTGATATTGGCACACCCACCCTGGAAATGAAAAATGAGAAAAGAGCCCTTGGTTTTCTTAGGGGCTCTTCTTCAAGCTTAGCTTTGAGCTAGCTGGTTTGTGTGCACGCTTTTAGAAAATTCTTTCTTCTTCCAGTTTGGTGTAGTGGTTAAGTGTGCGGACTCTAATCTGGGAGAACCGGGTTTGATTCCCCACTCCGCCACTTGCAGCTGCTGGATGACCTTGGGCAAGCCATAGTTCTGTCAGAGCTGTTCTCTCAAGGACAGTTCTGGAAAGAGCTCTCTCAGCCCCACCTGTTGTGGGGAGGGGAAGGGAAAGGAGATTGTAAGACGCTCTGAGACTCTGAGTGAAAGGCGGGGTATAAATCCAATCTCTTTCTCCTCCTTCGTCTTCTTAGTCTGTTCTAATGGTCCTCAAATATGCATTCACGGGCAACTCTGCCACTGGGAAATCCAACCCCAGTCGCTTAGGGAGTTCACGAATATGTTGTGTCTTCCCGTTAATGGCCAGACACTCAGAAAAGGCAGAGCTGCCCTTACCTGAATCGCCCATACAAGCCCCATCTCGTCAGATCTCGGAAGCTAAGTAGGGCCGACCCTGGCAAGTACTTGGAAGGGTGACCTCCAATGAATACCAGGGCTGGGACGCAGAGGCATCCAATAATAATCCACTCCTCTGAAACATCCAAGCTCCACTAGGGGTCGCCAGACGTCAACCATAAATCCCAGTCATACACACCCATGCAAAATCTCACCAAAGAAAAAGGGAAAGGCAGAGCTGACAACGGCATGAGAAAGGATCGTACTTTTCATGAGCACTAGAAGATCAGGGGTAGAGACTGGTGACTCTCTCTGCAGAACAGCAGCTTGAAGAGTGTCTTAAGCCAAAGAGGACGATGGAGATATGGGAGAGCAAGTGAGCCGGTCGGAAGGGGAGGAACGATGACCCAAAAGAGTGAGCACGGACTTGTGCCAGGAGAGAGGGGATCTGGTTTGTTTTCAATTTTTCCATTCTGTGGATTCTAGGCCTCCCCGAAGCTGGCGAAGAGGGTGATGGTGTTGGGGCTGCTGAAGAAGATGTCAGTGAGCCCTTAATGGGTGGGAGCGACAACTACGACGAAGATGATCAAAATTACACCGTTCAGACTGCTGATCCGAGCAGTATCCCCCAACCCAAAGCTATTGGGTTTTTCCAGGCTTGTTGCCTGCCCGGTGTGATGTTGGTAAGGGATCCCTCTACCTTATATGTTGTCGAAGGCTTTCACAGCCGGAGTTCATTAGTTGCTGTAGATTATCCGGGATGTGTGGCCGTGGTCTTGGCATTGTAGAACCTGACGTTTCAACTAATGATCCCTCTACCTATGTAATCTGAACACACCATGATGTTTTCCCTGGAGAATGCTGTAAGGCTCTAGTGAGAACAGGGCAGTGTCTCTCAATGCTTAGAGGAATTTATTTAACTTTGAGGTGCCTGGGTTGCCTGGGGTGTGTGTGTGAGAGAGAGAGCCTTTTCTGCATGCAAATCGTGCGCACTGCATTTTCTGTAGAAGGGCGATCAGTTTGTTCAGAGTTTCCCATTTTATCCTCCCCATGGTCCCATGAAGGCTTAAAGCCAACCAGGCAAGTTTCATGGCAGAGCAGGGATTTGAACTAGCACCCCCTCCCCCGGAGGGCTTCCCGTCCAGCGCTCTGTCTGCCCAGCTCCCTGATGGTTTCTCCCTTTGGTCCTTCTTTCAGTATTCCTTGGCCTACGCCTGCTTGAAACTGGTGAACTACTCCTTCTTCTTCTGGCTGCCCTTCTACCTCAGCAGCAACTTTGGGTGGAAGGAGGCAGAAGCCGACAGGCTCTCCATCTGGTACGATGTCGGGGGGATTGTAGGTACGTGAAGCAAACTTCAGCTTTGGCTTTCTTGGGGCCTGGAAACTTATACTGGGGAAATGGGGGGGTCCCGACTCTGACAGTTTTTTTTTGGGTTGTCTTCACACCAAAACTCCCGACGATGGTTTAATCCCGCTTTTAAACCCTGGCTTGTCAGCAAGAAACAGTCCTTAGTGTGTTAGAAGTGACCGTGTTCATGCATTGCAACAAACTGTGGTCAGATTGAAGACTTCCTGTTCAGTCTCTGTTTGCATAGAGGAAGAGGAAAAAGGAGGCCGGGGGAGAAGTGCCTAAGTCTGAGAATGTACCAGACTTTGTTCATGATGTCTTAATGTACCCTCCTAGAAAGCTGTGATATCTTACTCCAGGTGAAACTGCAAGGCTGCTTAGGATGTTACCACCCCCCCCCCCAATGCCCTCTGCATTCATCAAATCATAAAGTTGGAAGGGACCTCCAGGGTCATGTAGTCCAACCCCCGGCACAATGCAGGAAATTCACAAATACCCCCCTGCACCCCAGTGACCCCTGCTCCACGCCCAGATGATGACACACACACAAACACCTCCAGGATCTCCAGCCAAATTGGCCTGGAGAAAAACTGCTTCCTGACCCCAAAGTGGCGATCAGCATTTCCCTGGGTGTATAAGAAGGGGCCACAAGAACTAAGCACTGGTGCAACCCTTCCTGCCCTCCCTCTCATGATCCACCTAAGTTCACAGAATCAGCATTGCTGTCAGATGGCCATCTAGCCTCTGTTCGAAAACCTCCAAAGAAGGAGAGTCCACCACCTACCGAGGAAGCCTGTTCCACTGAGGAACAACTCTAACTGTCAAAAAGTTCTTCCTAATGTTTAGCCGAAAACTCTTCTGATTTAATTTCAACCCATTGGTTCTGGTCCAACCTTCTGGGGCAACAGGAAACAACTCTGCACCATCCTCTATATGACAGCCCTTCAAGGACTTGAAGATGGTTATATCCCCTCCTGACTTGAAGGTCCTGTGTTCCCTTTGTTTCTGCAGGTGGCACCATCCAAGGCTTAATCTCTGATATGCTGCAGAAGAGAGCTCCGGTGCTAGCCATTAGCCTCATCTTGGCGGTTGGGTCTCTCTTTGGATACAGCCGTGAGTCCTTTCCTGCTTTGGATGGGGAGTTGGGGGGGGGGTGCAGGCTGCTTGTCATCTTATCCAGAAACTGTAAACCAGAGCAGTTAAGTCTCAAAATGCAAGACTTTTTCTTTTGCTTTCTGGTTAATTTTGACCTGGCCATACAAAGCAGTCCACCCTAAGGATTTGCCCAGTTTCTATTTAAGCACTTAACTCCCTAAGAAATGAGAGAATTTTCCAGCCTAGGAGTGTCAGGTCACTGTTCTTGCAGGAGCCTGTCCTGCAAAGTCCGTCAGTGTGAGCCGAGCCGAATTGGAGGGGGTAGAGAGCCTTTACCGCTGTGGCAGATACGTGTTTTAAGGTTCTCATTCCCTCTTCCAGTGATGAATTCTGACTCTTGGGGGGCTTCGCTTTTTCTTCCCCATCTCTCTAGGGTCACCAAACAACAAAGTCATCAATGCCGTTATCATGGCTGTCACAGGTAAGAGATCAGTGCGGCTTTTTCAGTATCCCTTTTAGACCTAGTGTCAGCAGAGGTAACACATACTGGTACTGGCAGCCTCAAGAGCGGGGGCTCCTGATAATATAGGCCTACTAAAGGTGCAGCCCAGCAAGATTCTGTTCATTCTGTAAGGCTGTGGCAGTCAAATCTGGTGCCCCTCAGCATCAAGGAGAGAGGCTGCATAAGTCAAAGAGGCACTTTGGCGAGCAGTGCTGCTAAGAGCATTAGAAGGGTTGCTTCCGATGCAAAAGTTTATCTCTAGCACCAGCCAGATGCCTCCGGGACGTCTGCAAGAGGGACACGCAGGCCAAAGCCTCCCCTTCCCCCGTTGTGTTCCCCAGCAGCTGGAATTTGTAGACTTATTACCTCTGATCATCTCACCTGTATAATTTTGTCCGCCCTTCCTCTGGGAAGTTCTGAGCAGTAATATGTGTATAACACACGCCCCCTTTATATTCACGGTACCGTGAGGGTCTGCGTGAAGTGCCTGGTCAGAGCTGCTTATAATTTTTCTGACCAGCCCGCTATACAAATCTACAGAAGTCTCTTCAGGGTATTTGTTTTACTTCTTTGTCAAGGGTATTTGTAAGGACCACTGCTAGTGTATTTGCTTCACCATTAAACAGTTAGGCACCACGGCTTGTTAACTTCAAAACAGAACAGGCTTTATTTACAGAAAACACAACAGGGGGATAGAAGCTTTACACGGAGGATAATTTGTTTCTTTTCGGGCTGAACTTGGTTTTTACTTAGGCAGAATGCTTGCTGCTTTTACTTTAACACAGATGTTAAACAGTTCACTACACCCTCTGATGATCACACCCTCCTGTACGAGTGGTGGATGGTTGATGGGCAGCAGAAGTTTGAATGGTGGTAGATGGTCGAAGGGTGGTAGAATTTTGAAGAGCAGTGAACGGTTGAAGGCTGGTAGAAGTTTGAAGGGTGGTGGAGAGTCGACGGGTGGTAGAAGTTTGAATGGTGGTGGACGGTCCAGTGGTGGTAGAAGTTTGAAGAGTGGTAGATGGTTGAAGGGTGGTAGAAGTCTGAAGGGCAGTGGATGGTCGAAGGGTGGTAGAAGTTTGAAGGGCAGCAGTTGGTTGAAGGGTGGTAGACATCTGAAGGACAGCAGATGGTTGAAGAGTGGCAGAAGTTTGAAGGGTATCATATGGTATAAAAGTGATAGAAGTCTGAAGGGTGGTGGTTGGTCGAAGGGTTTTTGCTTCCACTGTGATATGTCTGGCATCACTACACTCTGAAAGATATGTGTAAAATCAGATCACTGACTTCTTGTACCAACAGTATTAGAATATCTTAACCAAATCTTAACCAAACCTTAACCAAACAAAGCCAGTTTGGTGTAGTGGTTAAGTGCGCGGACTCTAATCTGGGAGAACCGGGTTTGATTCCCCACTCCTCCACTTGCACCTGGCTGGATGACCTTGGGCAAGCCGTAGCTCTGATAAGAGCTGTCCTTGAAAAAGAGCAGTTTCTGTCAAGAGCTCTCTCAGCCCCACCTCCCTCACACGGTGTCTGTTGTGGGGAGGGGAAGGGAAAGGAGTTTGTAAGCCGCTCTGAGACACCTTTGGGTAGTGAAGGGCGGGGTATAAATCCAATCTCTTCTTCTCAGCAATTCAGGCATTCTCACCACCCCCCATTTTACATGGTCCAATAGACATCTCCCAGCTCCATGTTGTCAGCTGCCGAGCAGTGCATGGTGTTGGTGTGGGGAGGCCTGGCAGAGCCTCTGAACTATCCACCTACCTGGTTACCTCTGGTAAATACGTTCTGCCTCCAGGCAACCAGCCCAAGGGTCTATTGTAAACTGGAAGAATCAGTTCTTTGTTCTTTCAGCCACCGCCATGTAGACTGGGGAAATGAGAAGAGGCAGTAATTTTTTTGTGGGTCTCTTTGTGGTAGTTTCCTATTCCTTATGCTCTCTCCTAGTGTTCTTATCCATCTCCCAGGCAGGGCTGAACTTTAGAGAACAAAATACTGGAGATATTGGGAAAGTCTGGCGAGTTGACACAGCTGGGCAGCTGTCAATTCAGTGGCTCCTTACTGGGGGGGGTGACCTTGCAACGGGCACTGTCTTTAATTTAGGCAGACCTACCTCACAAAAACGGGAGATGTTTGTTGCCTCAAGCTCCTTGAGGGAAGGACACAATGGAAACATATGGCAGAACAGATATATTCCCAAACTTATCAGCCTAGCTGTACAAAAGAAGCAACAACTGGAAAGGGTTGTTATGAAGGGATGTGGCGTGATGTGAGGCTCTTTGAACCAAACTGATATATCCGGAACTGAAGCTCTCTGAGGCTGTTAAGGGCGGGAAAACATGAGAGTGTTGCCTGTAAGCTGTGTCAAGGGAACATGTAGAGGCAGGGAAAATGTCCTGGTAGAATGGGGCTGGCACATTGCTGGTAGCGCAGTCGCAGATGGAGGTAATGGTTTAAAAGAATAATCCACTTTTAATCTGGATTTTGTACAGCTGGGAAAGTCCACTAGAGAATGAAGTTGTGGTGGAAGTAAGGCAATGCCCTTTTAAACTGAGTACGATATTAGAGTGCCTGTGTTTTATTTTAACTAAAGTTTCAAAGTGCTTTTTAGCATGTTTCAAAGGTACCCTTTTGAATTCCCCATGGAAATCCCTTTAAAAAAAATGCTGCTAGTTGTGTGGATGTGATGCCTGGATTGGGTTTTTAGTGGTGTAAAAGGGACCCTGGAGAGAATCCCTGCCCCCCCTTTGACCAGGGGCCTTTGGTGTCTGCAGGGAGCCCTGATCCTGGGTGGCATCCTCCAAGGCCCCCAGACTGGAGGGGGGTGGTTACGGTTTGGCTAGCCTGAAAATCTTTCCATGCTCACTTCCGAGGCTGGGAAAAGGCCATGGTTTTTGAAAGCAGAACGAGGCACTCCTAAGTCCTTCTGTTGAGCACGCTGCTGTCACACGCTGCGAAGTAGAAGGGTAATCCTACCAAACGCTCCCAGGTTTGTTCAGGGAAGCCCTCCCTGGGAATCACGCAAATGGTGCTGCCTGTGCCAACACGGCCATTGCTCCGTAGTGGTTGCCAAGCCCACGTAATGAAGACGGTGTCCTTGGTTAGTGAAGCAATGCATGGTCTAACTGCAGATGGTACACAACTGTGTTAGAAGAGACACTTCCCTTTCTGGATGTGGGAAAGCCTCGTCTATACCTGCTCCTTTCCTCTTAGGAGCTCACGGTGACACACATAAACCCTCTCTCATCCTCAAAAGTGCCTTGTGAGGTTGCTGATTTAGGCGGAGAGCGTGACCGTCCCAAGGCCACTCTCTGAGCTAAGTTGGGGGGCTTGAACCTGGTCATCTGGGTCCAATCCAACACTCTAGCCCAGTGACACTCACTCAGTGGCTCAGGAGCCACAGGTTCCCCAGTGTGGCACCTGCCTCATATTTCAGGAGAGTGGGCAAGGGTCCTTGGCTGGTGGGGCTTGTGACTGGCAGGCGATTCAAACCTTCAAATGGCCACTGGCAAAGGAACGGGCAAGCTGTGAGCCTCCCTGAGGTGCAGGCCTCATGGCAGGGATGGAAGCAAGTGTGGCTCTTTTGGTCAGTGGTAACTGGGAAATGTGGCTGTCCGCAAAGCTGTGGATGGGGTACCACTGCTCTAGCCACTGTACCAGGCCGGCCTTCCTCTGAAGATGTCTACGGCACACAACCGTGCCACATCTTTGGTTTGCATCCTGTACTTTTTTTCTGCCCTCGCCTGGATAGCTCAGGCTGGCCCAGTCCCATCAGACCTCAGGAGCTAAGAAGGGTCAACCTTGGTCAGTATTTGGAGGGGAGACCTCCGAGGAAGTCCAGAGTCGTAGAACAGAGGCAGGCAATGGCGAACCACCTCTGAACGTCTCTCACCTTGAAAACCCCATGGGGTTGCAATGAGTCGGCTGCGACTTGACTGCACTTTCCACTCCACCCCCCCCCCACACACACACTTCTTCCTCATGTGGATTTACTCTGCTTCAGAAAGGGATTGAAACCTGTAGGATTAGGATTTCCATAATCACTTGCCAGCCCGAATGTTCATTCTGATTTTTAAAATTGTAACAATCTGAGTTCGTGTCCAGGGAAGGTTTTGAATTGCATGCTGCCTTCTGAAATGGCATTTTCACAACACACAGATTCACGAGGCTGGATTACCGGCCCCAGTACTGAATTTCTCGCTTGAAGGGTTAATGTCACTTCCTTTCTGTGACTCTCCCGAGAATTCCATCAAAACTAATGGTTTGCATAGTAGTGTACTTAAAGTCCTCTGGCAGCCAATGGCTGTAACACGCAGAAGCATCGTCTCACAATCCAACAAAGGAAAAAAAAATTAAAGAACTGGTTTTGGAGGGAAACCTTGTGTGGTGCAAGAAGGTAATTAAGATTCTGGTGAAGTCGCGAGTTCCTGTAACAAAGCGCCAGGGGATTCCTCTGGGGCTGTAGATGGCTGCCTCATTTTCAGGAAGGTTTTGAACAGGCCCCAGGAATTGTACCAAGAAACTTTATTGGTAGTGCTCTCTGGTGAGAGGGGGTGGGGGTGGGGTGAGTCCCCGCTTGCTTTATACTGTCTCTGGGGTGGTTTTCCCTTGATGAGCCAATCATTTGCCCCCTCGCATGAAGGCAGCGTTGATGGTTCTCCGCGCTGTCATGTTGGCCATTGTCTGACACTCACAATGGAAAACATCCTCTGTAGAATTAATCGTATCGAGTGTGTTCACCTTGCCCATTCCCTAGTTTTTTAACTTCCCCATTGCCTCAGGAACCGGGGCTTTGTGTCTGACAAATTGCTTCCTCCTTTACCTGAGTTATCGGTGACAATCCATTTCCATAGCAACCAGCTGAGATTCCACGAGTTGGGCTTTCTCCCCTAGTGGGAACCAAGCAGGTGGAGTATGCTGAAAATCTCAACAACAATAAAAGAAATAATACAGAGAAGATGCGACTCCCCCCTTCCTTCGTTTGACCTGTCTGCGCTGTTGGAAACAAAGGGAGTGACAGAATGCTTCAGGGCAGAATCTATACATAGGTTTTTTTGATTTTACACACACAGGAGTGATAAAGCTCCCAAGAAATGCTTTCTGCATACAATTTAACATATTTGTGTTCTTTAAATGAGTGTTCCAGAACTCTTTGGGTTTTGCATCTAAAGCTGCACATCCTTTAGGAAGCTGACTAGTGGTTTTGTTCTTATGTTAAATTCAATTTTAGTTTATGAAGCTGCATCAACGTTTTGCGAAGTATAGAGATTTTTTTAAAAAATGAGGGGGAAACCTGGGGTAGCTCTATGGCAGAGCATGAAGAAAGAAGAAAAAGTCTCATTTGTGTGTTCTGCATCCCTTGATGGCCTTTCAACTCTCGAATGTGTTGTGTTTCTGTTTCAGTACCTGGTGTCCTTGATCCAAGAAAAGCTGGGATGGATGTGGGTTTTCTATTTCTTCATTTTAATGGTAAGGACCTTACTGCTGGATAACAGGTGGCAGCAGTGCCTTTCACCAGCTTCATTCCTTCCGGAGAGGGGGGAAGGGATGGGCAGACGGACATCTAGATTAGATTACTACAATGTGCTCTACATGAGGCTGGCCTTGAAGATTGTTCAGAAACTACATTTAGTACAGAATGCTGTGGCCAGAATGCTGACTGACGTGGGTTGTGGGGACCATATCACTCCTGTCTTGTTCCCTCTACATGAGCTCCCAGTTTGTTTCCCAGGCCCAGTTCAGGGTAATGATATTGACCCTTAAAGCCCTGTACTGCTTGGGGCCAGCATACTTTAAGGACTGTCGTCTTCCATATGAACCCACCCATCCATTCCGGTCATCTTCAAAGGCCTTGCTTCAGGAGCCCTGGCCATCTGAGGCTTGACAGGTGTCAACCTGAGAAAGGGCCTTCTTGGTGGTGGCATCAAAACTTTAGAACGCTCTCCCCAGGGAGATTCATCTGTCACCCTCTGTTGTTGTCTTCCACCAGCAGGTGAAGACTTTTTTGGTTTTTGTTTGGCACACCCACAACAACTGTTTTGATTGGCATACCCAATCTCTTTTTCTACTGTGTGAAATAACTGTAGAACAGCTGCCAGAATGGCTTTGAACTGCACTGTGCCCTGGTCTCATGGTCCTTAATTCCATTTCTTTTCACAGACGAGTTCAACCGTCCTGTTCATCACACCATTGATTGTGAGGGAAATAAGTGCGCTGCTGAGAGAGAGACCCGCACTCAGGTTGGCTGGCTGACTGTCCTGGTCACTGTTACATGGAGCCCTTCAGGGAAGGCCAGCGAAGAGAGAGCGCTTATTGGAATTTCCCACGGTTCACGTGTACCTTTTGTTTTCTTTTTAACCATCTGCTGAGGTCAGAGTTGGTTGAAAATAACTCTGAAAGGATTTGCTGCTGGACGGTTGTTGATACGTGAATGGTTTAATCCATCTGAAGATGTGCTGTGGTCTTCTGCGGGAGTGTGCTTCTTGACGAGCTTGTTGACTGGGCCAGAGAGGATTGCTTTCTTTTCAGTTATACCTCACGTTCTCAGGGCCGGCTCGTGCAATCATCAGAATCGAACGGTGAAGATGTTCCCGGAATGGAGTGCTTCAGGTTGCTGGTGGCTGGGAACATACGTTGTGAATGTTTCCTCACAAGCCAAAACTCCTTGTCCCTAGAAAAGTGGTGTGTCTGGGAGAGGAGTTTAGGTTTGCCCTCTTCCTGTTGGGCTAGGCGGGTCTGTGTGAAGGAAGCTTTTATGGGTGGTTGGAAAGCATCCACGTGTACAACCTCTCCTCATGCAGCCACAAGGGGTACAGTCCAGGAAACACTTCAACTGCTCGTTTCTGTGTGAATTGGCCCTCCTAAATTCTTCGTGCCATCTGTCTACTTGCATTTTTGTGCTGTGTTCAAACACCTTACAGTGACCAGAGGCACAAAACTGACAGCCTTTTTTGCTACTTCTTTAGCAAATGGGGTAAAAAAAAGAGAGGCCCTTTTGTTACTTGACACTAAAGCATCACTTTCTGTCCACTTTGTGCCACTTGGTCGTTGGCTTTTTGGAAGCTGACAGAACCGGCTGTCTGCTTCCTGCCTGGCCCTATCATTACGAAGTGGACATCAGGAAACCTTGAATCTGTGGAAGCAGCCCAGGTCCTTACTAGCCTGCCAGAAGAAAGTAGAGGTTGTGTTTTTATTTCCGTTTTAAATATCTGTCCCATTCAGCTATCGTGAGCTGTTTTCTCTCCAACAATGCCGGACACATTCCATGCTTGATGAATTCTTCTGTCGATGTGCCTGCAGTGTGAGAAATGAGGGTGTGTCTTTGGAGACGTGCGTACTAAGCATTTCTTAGAAAAAGTAGTCAGTTTACCATGGTCCTTAATTTTAAGGTGATTGTTGATGATAGGATTTTGAATGCACTTGAGAGACTGGTAGGAAAGGGGGGAGGGAGCTCTGAATTACCCGAGTGTTATCCATTTCTGAACAGCAAAAATGATTTGCTGTCCTGTGTTGGAGACACTTTGCGATCCTCAGAGGCCTGCTTCCTCAGTGAGGAATTATCCAAGAGAATATGGCTGATCTGTCCTTTCGTCTGCACCAAAGATTTTCTGCTGGTGAAACACGTAAAAAAGGATGGGGATGCTCTCAGAACTGTTGTCATGTTCTCTTTCTCACCCCCTCCCCCAGTCTAGTGTTTAATTAAGCTTCCCTTGTACCAAGTATCATTCTGCTGAGAGTCCAATAGCACCTTTGAGACCGACCAAGATTTGGGGAGGTCTATGCTTTCGTGAGTCAAAGCTCCCTTTGTCAGAGATCTTGACTCTCAAAAGCTTATACTGTGAAAAATTTGTTGGTCCCTAAGATGCCCCTGGACTCGAATCTGGCTCTTCTACTGCAGACCAGCATGGCTGAAATTGCCCTCCTGAAATTATGCTGCGAGTCTCCCTGCTCCATTAATAGCAACCAGTGCTATGGGGTGAGAAAGTGCTTGGTGCAATGATGCTGGGACTTAAACAAGTTGAGCTAGACGTCATGGAGAACAAGGGGCGGCTTATTTCAGCGGCAGCCTTGCAGGGGTTTTTGCTTTATGTCATGTTTTAGGTCTGCCTTATAAATCAAGTCAGAGTAAAAAGCCTCACCTCCTTGGGTGGATTTAGTTCAGTGAATTCGGTCGCATAGCTTCCTGGTCCTGATTCAGTGCTGATCATCTGTCTGTGGCATCTAGAAAAGCATTGTGAGTTTGATTTTTGGGTCATTTGGTTGGCTGGCCAGTTCTCAGCCTGCTTTGGAAAAACTGAACATTGTACCTGAGGCCTTGACACCTCCTCACCGATTTCACTTTCGGCCCCCCACCTTCTTGCTGCTGAGACTGAGGGAGGAAGAAACACTTAAATTAGCTATACATTTTAGAGGGGAAAAAGGGATTCTTTCTCTCATTCCAAAAATGCCTTTTTTAAAAACACTTAAATGTACAGTAGTACCTTTTTAATTTATGAATGTAAATGTCGAATCATGTGACTGCGGTTGAGTGTACATAGCTGGTACTGTTTTCTGAATTGTGTGTTGCTCTGTTGTGCTGCTTCGTTTCCACAAGAAGCGATTGCTTCATTTTTAGACGTCTTTTAAAAGGCTGGATGTTTGGCTTTAACCCTGATCATCCAATCAGTGAGGGGGTAGAGAAGTCATCATCCAATCAGTGAGGGGGTAGAGAAGCCATCGACTGGGTTTTCTCTTCTGCCTTTGCTCCTTCCCGTTTTGTGGCCATATCAGCTGTTCTATGTTCAAGAAAGAAGTTGGTTTGCCAAAGGGTTTCCTCTAATCGCTGGAATAACTTTAAAAACAAACCACTTATAATAGTGTGGTTTTCAAGATGGGAAGTGGCAGACTCCAGAGTTTTAGGCTTTTTGTGAGTTTTAGGGTATGCTTCGCACAATCACTTTTTCTATCTCGTGCTGTTTTTGTAACTCAGTGGAGGAAATCTGTGCAGAACTGGGTCTTGTGAAAGGGGTCCAATGCTTGCTTAGCTCAGCTCCTCTGTCCTCACACTACAAGCAGTTGTGTTTGGCCTACAGCTCCAGAATCCAAGTTAGACGTTTCAGTCCGAGTGAATGTCTCGACTGAGATAATTTATCCTGCCTCAGAATGGCTGCAGGGATTTCCACTCACAATGCAGACCGTGTCCTAGGGGAGCTTTGCAGCATACTGGATCCCGCAGGTCTCCCAGTACTGCCCCCTCCCTGCACAAAGAGCCCTCGCCTAATGCAGGAGACTCTTCCAAGAATGGGTGAGTCTCTTGTGTTGGCAGAAAGGCTCCTTGTGCCAGAGGGAAAGCACTAATGTCAGCAGCGCAAGGCCACAAGATCCAACCCACTGTGCTCAATGACTGACAATTGCCAATTAGGCACTTCCGCCCCAACTTTTGTTACCCTTTTTAGTATCTTCTGCTCTGTGTAGACGGGGAAATGCTTTGGTTCTGATGATTGTCCCAAATTAGTTCCACATGAATAAATTATTTTTGGCAAATTGGCAAATTTTCTGTGTGTTTGTTTTTGCTTGCGCCTCAGATCACACTGAAGACCGAGTGCCTCATTTTTGAGATCTTGGTGAAAATAATATGCACATGGTAAAACAGACTGCATATTAAAATACCCATAAAAGTTAAGTGTTGCCCTGTGCAGATGTTTTGTTTTCTATTTGTGGTAAAGAGCAGCTCACACCCTCTCCATAGTTCACAGCATATATTGTGTGTGGGGGTGTTGTTTCTATTTTTTTAATTTTTAAAGTTTATTTCAACCATATTTACGTTACTACTGATATGAAAATATTATAAACTACATATACATTTAAATATAATAAACAATTTAAGAACCTCTTTCATTTTTCAACAGGACATAATTTCAAATGCTTGTAACCCTTGTGGTATCTTGGGATTTGTGCAACTAAGTAAATTTGCACAGTTTATACATTTCTTTTGCTTTATTTATCCAATCTATTTTTTTGCGGTCTTCTAAACTTTGACTTTCAGACTTTTGTTTTAATGGTTTTAATGGATTGTTATAATATGTAAATCTGCTGTAGTCAGTCCGTGTGAATGTCTCAACTGAAATAATTTACCCTGCCTTAGAATGGTTGCAGAGTTTTCCACTTGCAATACAAACTGTGTCCTAGGGGTGCTTTGAAGCATACTGGATCAGGAAGCAATTTCCTTCAAGCCAATTTGGCCAGGGAAAGCAAGAAGAGATCTGTCAGGAATGCTTCTCAGACAACCAGTTTCTAGAACAAATATATATTGTTTATTGTTTATCCCATAGGTCCATATGCCTTTCTTTAAGGAAGAGCTCTGGGGCCACTGCATTATTTCATTCCTCGAGTAACATTATATTGTTGCTGGAGGAATACCTTCCCTGTCCCCATAAGATCCCAAGAATACTGCAGGTTAGACTTATTGGTAGTGATGAGCTGACTGCACTTATCCCCTGTTTGGTTTGGCTCAACAAATGGGAGTTGCTGGAACTTCCGGTTGATGGCGGCGCGCTAGCAGACTCACCTCCCGGACCTCCCGGGGGTGAAGCTGCGCTCCAGCTGAAGGAGGGGGTGCGCAGGTTCGTCACCCGGAATTTTTAAGAGTCCAATTGGGAGGGCCAGAGGAGGAAGAAAAAGAAGGGGAGGACAGTAAGTCCAATGGCAAGATGGACTCGGATTCTTCCGGAAAGGACTCTCTTTCAGAGAAAGGGGCTGCAGCTCCTAAAAGTCCTTATAAGCCGTGGAAGAGATGGGGCAAGGAGACGTGAAGGCTGAAGGACTCTGAGTTGTGCCTTGGAATAATTTTGAAATGAAATGACTTGGGGTCAGTAAATTTTAAGAACTGAAAAGTTAATGTTAAATTTGACTCAGTTTGTAAAGGGATTAGCGGGATTAAGACTTGATGTTTGTTTAAACTGATCAGAAGATCTCCTCTCTTGGGTTTTTAGTTAGTAGTGGGTATCTTTCTTTTATCCCATAAATGTAGTCCCCCTTCCCATTTTCTGTTGTAGTTTGTAGAAGCCAACTGGAACCACAATATTATCTATTGAGGTGCATTGTTGTCTTAATGTCTTGGTGATTTTATTGGTTTTAATGGATTGTTATAATATGTAAATCTGCATTCATTGCAGATATATGTTAGAACCTGCCCTGAGCCTACAATGAGGGGAGAATGGGATATAAGTCTAATAAAATTTTAAAAATTAATTCTGTGTTTTTTTTATAAATCTCCATAGGGTTATTTTTTTATTTTGCATATACTACAACCTTATAATATGTAAATCTGCATTCATTGCAGATATATGTTAGAACCTGCCCTGAGCCTACAATGAGGGGAGAATGGGATATAAGTCTAATAAAATTTTAAAAATTAATTCTGTGTTTTTTTTATAAATCTCCATAGGGATATTTTTTTATTTTGCATATACTACAACCTACAAAGAAATATAGGGGAGGGACTATAACTAAGGAGAAAGAAAAGCAAACCACACTAAACTAAAACCCCAAGAGGAGGAGATCTTTTCACTGTTAGTAAACATGTTAGTATAATTAGTTTTATTATCACAATATACTTGTTGAGTTCTTGCTTATAACAGTTCGCTTCTTATATGCTATTTTGTTAGTTGTTTTGAGAGAAGTCTCTGATCATCTTCTTAGCCTTCATTTTAAAAGGCCATTTTCCAAGTCCTTCTGCCTTTACTTCGGCTTTCTATCTCTAAAATCGTATACCACTCTGGCAGGTCCCGCACCCTTTTCTGCCGCAGAATCCTCTTCCGTTCCTGAGGTAGCAGAGTCACTCGACTTCGATTCTCCCTCTTTGGACTCATCATCTGTCCCCAACTGGCGTTTCAAAAATTCTTTAGCTTTTAAAAGTGGAATCTATCTTCTCTCTTCTATCGTTGATCTTAAAGATGACACCCTCTGGGACCGCCCATCTGTACGATATTCCATTAGTTTGAAGAAAAGAAATTAATTCCTTGTAATTTTTCCTCTTTTGTCTAATTTCAAATGGAATGTCCTTTAAAGTTTTAATGGTAACATTTCCCATTTTCAGTGGGGTTGCTGATGTTGCTTTTAAGATGGCATCCCTGGTTTGTCTTCTTGAAAACTTGACCACTATTTCTCCAGGTAGGCTATTTTTTTAATATAGTTGGAGTATGCCCTATAGGCTATCTCCATTTCGTTTACAAGTTCCTCCGCTGTTAAGCCTACTACTGGAGCGATGATCTCACTAAGCACTTTCTTCAAGTCTTCCCGATCTGTTTCAGGAACCCCCTGAAACCTGGGAATCATGTTAGCTTTTTCCATCTGAAGCTGCAAGACACGGTTCTCTTGGCAATTCTGCTTCATTTCAACCTCTCCCATCCTTTTCTTCAACTTCTTACTTGTGGTGTCAATCTCTTTAATTTTTTCGTTTGCCTGCTCCACTTTTTTCTCCGTCTCGTTCAGCTGGAGCTGCTGTGCCGCCAAGTTTTTATTCATCACGGTCAATTGCTGGTTAATACCATTGAGTTGTTCCATCACCGGCTTGAGCATATCCGCCAGGAGTTTGAGGACATCTGCTCCCTCTTCCGGTCTCGGACTCTGCCCGCCCGGCTTTGTTTTAAACTTTCTCTGCTGGGCTGCCATCTTTCCCGTTTTGTTTACAATTTCTGCCGCTTCCCCTCAACTCGGAAAACTCGCCAAATGACTTTGCAGATCAGATAAGTCTCTCAAAACACTTTCGGTTTACTTCCTCCCCACTCCCCCTT